GCCCTGATCCTGGGTAGGCCCCATGGTCCAGCCCCCATCTGGCTGCAGGAAGGGCTGGTGGTGACCTCCCCTCCTGCTATAGCATAGGTAGGAGGGAAGGCCATGACCTGGCTGTGGCAATCCTGGCCCAGCTCCTTGTCCAGCCACTATTGCCCAAGTGCAGCAGCCCCGCCCCAGACAGGTAAGGTAATCTGTCCCCAGGGCCTCCTCTCATACTCTATTTCCCACACCTAGCACCCTTCCCTGCCTCCTGCACCTCTTACACACCCCAACCCCTAGTTCGAATTAAGTGGCTACACAGCCCTTAATTCGAACTACTTAATTCGAACGTGGCGTTAGTCCTCGTAGAATGAGGTTTACCTAGTTCAAATTAAGCACTCTGCTAGTTCGAATTAAGTTCGAACTAGAGGTTTGTATATGTAGCGCCTATCAAAGTTTATTCTAACTAACATACCCGAAGAGACTAACAAAAATGTATATAGTACAATGAGCTTTTGTGGACACAACCCACTTCTTCAGATGAGTGGAGCAAGAGGCACAGAAAGTACTTCTTAGTTTTCTAGTTAATATGGCTTTTTTGGAAATCACTTTCCTGCCTTTTCATTTCTTGTTTCGTTTCTTGTTTCCACTCTCTTCTCAGACCCTGGGTGCTAGGTGAAATGTATCTCTAGATTCCATCGTGTCATGCCTTTGTTTGTCCAACCGTGGTAACACAAGACACACTGGGATTGTGAGACTCATATTCAAAATGTGGAAATTCATGTGCCTGGCCGTGTTGCCCATTCAGAATTTCCTTCTCTATTTTTGTGGCTCTCACTCCTTGCATTACTGCTTCCACTGTCACTTTCATGTACATACTTCTCACAGCTCTCCTCCCATAGGGTATGTCTACACTACCCTCCTAGTTCGAACTAGGAGGGTAATGTATGCATACCGCACTTGCAAATGAAGCCTGGGATTTGAATTTCCCGGGCTTCATTTGCATAAGCGGGGAGCCGCCCTTTTTAAAACCCCGCTGGTTCGACCCCCGTGCAGCGCGGCTACACGGGGCTCGAACTAGGTAGTTCGGACTAGGCTTCCTAGAACGAGGTGTACCGGTAGTCCGGAATAGGAAGCCTAGTCCGAACTACCTAGTTCGAGCCCCGTGTAGCCGCGCTGCACGGGGGTCGAACCAGCGGGGTTTTAAAAAGGGCGGCTCCCCGCTTATGCAAATGAAGCCCGGGATTTGAATTTCCCGGGCTTCATTTGCAAGTGCGGTATGCATACATTACCCTCCTAGTTCGAACTAGGAGGGTAGTGTAGACATACCCATAGTGATTAGTGCTTCAGGCCTTCATGGACTGCAGAGCAGTAAAGAAGGAGAAGGTAAATCCAAGTGGCCACTCCTGCCGCTTGTAATCTTAATGCCGGACATGGGGAAGCAAGAGGGAACTCCTAGAGGCAGCTTCTGCCACTTCTACAGGGTCTGAAAAGAAGGAAAGGAAGCTTTGAATATATATTTCAGAGATATTTTACCTCTGCATCATGTCTCATTTACCAAATCGCCATGCCTCCCCAGGAGGATGTGCCTCATCATTTGAAAGCTCTTGTTCTATAGAACATCATTACCTAATTATGCTTCTCATCTAGCAGCATATGCAAAATGACTTCTGTTTTTTTCTGTTTGGTTTTCTATTCCACAACAGCCAGCTAAGATGCTTTCACTGGAGAAAAAACCTGCTTCTTGAAATGCAGGATGTCATCATTATATATGGATATTTTTAGCATGAACCAAACCAGACAAACCCTGGCTTTTGCACGGTAGGGAAGCTCATGCATTTATCATTGCTTCAGCATAAGCATCATTCACAAAGCATCTCTGCATGTCAAAAAGTGCAGGAAGAACAAAAGCAAAGCTATCTGTTGAATTCAGTCTCAAATTTTGTTTTCTCACATTTACAAATTCAGTATTTGTTGCTTGCGAGAACATTTGTACAAACAACGTTTTGTTTGTCTGAATCGTCATGAATAAAATGAAGTATCTATATCATCTGAAATTCATTTTGGGATCACAGAAGGGCTGATTTGGGACAGAAGAGGTAAACACCAGAAATAGTTATATCCCCATGATAAAATATAACAAATAAGGGTGAAAAGTTGGAACAGCAACCAAGATGTTACATTTGGCTGACATTTTTCATATGATTTCCTCAAAAAATGACTGAAAATGAAACATTTTTAAGCATCAACTTTTTTGTAAGAAGTTTTTAAATACAAAAAATCCTCTACATTTTAATGAAAGAAAGGGTAACCAAATTTTCAGCCAATTCTGATGGAAAAATCTCCAACTACACTACCTAAAGCTTTTTTTAAAGGAAGTCTAACAGAGGACTGGGAGCCAGGAGATTCCTAGTTCTCTTCTTTACACCTCACCAAATTGCTGTAATGATGCATACGTTAGGAGCTCTAACATTTTACGAACATTGTTTAGTAACTAAACATTGCTGATTCCATTTTACTGACAGGGTTCTTGCCTTGACCTACTTGTTTCCATGGGCTCCTTCCTCCACTCTCACAGACTCAGCTAGCCATTTTATGATGATAACTTGCAAATCTGCTTCTCTGCGTCTAACCTCTATTCTCTGTGTGCAGTCTCATATATCAACTTGGCTCTTCAAATTTCATTATGACAACTTGCTGACATCTATAACTTAACATAGCTCCAACCAAATATTTTATTTTCTAAGTATTCTTTCTCCGCCTTCTTCCTTGTTGATAACACCCCCCATGCTGCTTGTCATCTAGGCTCAACTAGTCTGCTGTCATATACAAGCAGTATCCATATCTTGCATTTCTTTCCTCATAGAGAATTAAAAAATCTGACCTTTCCTGACCAAACAGTTAAAATGATTGACCACGCCCTCATCCTTGAATCTTCCTTACTACAACATCTTCATCTTTGGTATTCCTTGTACTCACATTGCCCCTACTAGCCCACTCAAAAAATAACATTTTCTTTCTCACCCATTCATCCAAATGCTTCCCTCAATTGGTTCTCCTGCTTTAAATTTCAATTTCAATTTCTCATCCTCGTGCACATTTCTATCCATGCCGATATCTCAGACCTTGCTCCATTTCTTTCCCATATGCACCTACCACCAGCAATACTAATTTTGAAGTTCCACAATTTTCTTTATTTTGATACAATCATTGAATATTTTCCATGTTGTCCCATGCACAAAATGCCTTCCCTGTCCCTATATCCCATAAGAACATAGAGTGGCCATATTGGATTAGACCAAATATCCATGAGGATGTGTTCAATCATGTTGACCAGTTTCCTTTCCTACTACAATGATTAATACCAGATTCCCCAGAGGAAATGAATAGAACAGGCAATCATCAAGTGAGCCCTACCCAGCACCTGGCAAACAAAGGCTAAGACACCATACCTGCTCATCCTAGCTAATAGCCATTGATTGACTTAATCCAGGTTTTTTTTAATCCTGTTATAGTCTCAGTCTTCACAACAACCTCTGTCAAAGAGTTCCACAGGTTGACTGCATGTTGTATAAAGAAATACTTCCTTAATGTGTCCTTCACCAAGACACAATACGCTTCTCACTGTCATGCCTGGTCTCCTCACATAATGGACAATGCTTGAATTCTGGTGAAGGCATCACACAGGGCAGCCAATAACTCTAGCTGCTACTATACTAACACTAAACTTAACTTAAGGTAATACTAGCTATTAAATACAAGAAAAAATTATCAGAAATCTGACACAGAGCATGAGGTAAAAACACCACACAGAACTCTGACATTAGCCACAATGGATGAGAAGGAACTAAGGGGGGCCCTTCTGTGGCCCAGGGAGAGACTAGTGATGCAGGACACCAGTGCCACTCCTACAAATGCTAATAAGCAAAGTTTTCTGGCTCCCCACAGGGCACATATACACTGATGCAGAGTACAGTACACAGCTGCACTACTTGAAAAAGATTAGTTGTATGGGTGGTAAAATACTATCAAAATGTAGTCTTGCCTACTGAATGTTTTTATCAGCTCTAGAATAGACTGAAAAATAGGAAGAAAGTATCACAAAAATTTATATTTGTGGGAAAACTTCAAACATTATTTATATTATTGAATAATTATCATATATAGTAAACTTTTTTCCAATGAAAAACAAAAATATTAATTTAAACCCCTGTTTCTCAAAATGGTCCGCGGATCCACTCTGAGGGTATATCTATGCAGCAACATTATTTCGAAATAACTTAGTCCATGTCTACACAGCAAGCAGTTATCTCACAATAATGTTGAAAAACTGTCAAGCTGGAGGACTTCTTACTCTGACTCCTGTAACCCTCATTGTATGAAGAGTAAGGGCAGTCATAGGAAGAGTGCTTTTTTTTTTAAATAAGTGCTGGGTGGACACTCCCAATTCCAAAATATAAGCTACGCAATTGACATAAAAGACCAATATCTCTTTGAATCTTACTACGTTTTTGGGTATTCTGTGGCAACGGGTTCCACAGTCTAATTATGCATGGTGTAAAAAAAAATTCCTGGTATACATTTTTAATTTGTTGCCTTCCTATTTAATTGAATGTCCTGTTCCTTTTGTGTTATGAGACAAGAAGAACAGACATTTTTCAATCCAGCTTTTCAGTATCACTCATTATTCTGTATACTCTGATCCCTTCTCATCTCTTCCCTAAAGTAATTAATCCCAATCTTTTCAATCTCTCTTCACATGAGAACTTTTCCATGCCCTAATCATTTACATCACTCATCTCTGAACTTCCTCTAAATATTCAACCACAGACCTTTGACCATCACACATGTCGCTTTTCAAAATTTGCCGAGATGGTTACCTCCTCTCATTTCAGAACAAAGGGAAAGGGTAATATTTCTAACTTGCTGATTTTTTAAACCCAACAATCATAGACTTTTTAGCTTTTTAATATACTAATTGCAAACTCTGAAAAAGAGAAAGAAATACATATGAAACTTACAGGCTGCAGTCAAATGTGTGAGAAATTATTTAAAAATAATTGTATTGATGACTGACAGATGATTCCTTTCTCCAGGGATACATAACTCTTGCACCTGAATAAAATAAAAGAAAATCAGATATGTTATAAATATTGGGACAGAGCCTTTACAGGTGAACAACACCACTCTAGCCCTTGTTTTTAGTAGTGGCTGTAAGACTGGAAAAGGTTAACATACATGTGCACATTACATTATGTAAGAATATACAGGGAAATGATGGCATCCAGGCTCCTCGTTATGATGATTTGGTGCTATTTTATACTATGTCAGCCAGCATGATAAGCAGAGAAATAAATTTCACCCCCACTGTGCAAGTCAAGTTACATTAGCAGAATATCTGATGCTATGATAGATACTGTAGGCAAACATTTTTATAACTATTTGAGTTAAATCGGTTCAAAGATATGGTTTCAAAATATGCTATATATTGCAGTTTTAGAAAATGCTGTCACCCGCACTACCATTATTTATATACACAATAAAAGTGCACAGGCCATTAGAGACAATCTGCCTGCCCTGAGGAGCTTACACTGAGGCTCTGACTTATGCACATATGGAAGTATATGTACTATGAGTAGTAGTAAGTCAATGGGACTCCTTGTTGTGTGCAAAGTTAAGCACCAAGGTCTTTGCAGAATTGGGGTCTACAGCTTCCATGCTGAAAACTAGATACAGTATACAGATCTATTATTTCAATGAGGATTTGCAAGTTGCAGCTGTCCTGCCACATAGCTATCACTGCTGTGTTTGTTGGGTAGAGGCACCCCTCAATAAACCATGGTTCCCATTGTTCTGTTGCATTGTCTTGCTTCTGTAGTCTCTATACTTTCCTCTACCAATAGCACATTTTAGTGCTAATCTATGTGATCAGATCAGGTCTAGATTTCAAACCAGATGAACAGTAACCTGGGAACAGTAACCATATTACTGGTGAGATGTCAATCTTAGCTGTTGGAATTTTCACTTGATTTTGAAATATGTTATTTACCAAGACAGTCAGTCTCAGTTGTCACTCACAATCGCAGACTGGCAGTGGCAACTGAATTTTAATTTTTATTAAAAGGAAGACAAAGCTACAGTTATCAGAGCAAGTGAAAGTCAGACACACTACAAACAGGAGAAAAGCAAGAATGGCATAATATTCAGTAGCACAGCAAGGAGAATGTAGAATGATGCAATTTAATTTAAAACTATCACAGCAACACCATGGCATTAAGATTCACTTAACATGTGATAAGATCCTGGAAATTAGTGCAACTAAATTTTCCTATTGGATAACCAGAGTGGAAACCTTAACAGCTTGTTGACAGGAGATCAAGATCCTGCCTTCCCCATCTAGATCTGGTGTCAATCTGGGGTAATTTTAATGTTTGCTTGTTCTGGTGTTCAGAGAGTGGATTCTGTTTAATTTTCTTTGATTTTTCAAAGGAGGAATAACTTCCACTGACACCATTTAATTCTGTTTTTAAACCACAGTGTGGTCTCATTGAAACCATTTTGCCACCATAACCTTACATTGTCAAGGCTTCATAATGGCATCATCAAAAGGTCCTTATAGACTTGCTATGAAATAGCTTTCCCATAATAACTTCACATCTCTGACTGTATTGTAATGGTATGATCATGGGGTCACAGACTAGCACCGAATTCCTTTTGCCATTGTAATCTTACAGTACATCATTATAGCCTTAGTCATTGTGACACTGTTATAGAGTCTCCATTGGCTGACAAAGAAACCATTTCCTCATCATGCATTAGTCTTAAATAACAATATCGACCTAATGATATAGTCAAGAGGTTAGGAAAGAACAAGCCATACCCTTATTTATTTCAGTTCAGCATTAGATTCAGGGGGCTGAGGCTTTACTGTTTGGCCTTCTGAACTGTGTTCCCTCCTTTTGTGATGAAAATAAACCATGGTTCTCCAAGCCACAGAAATAATTATTTTAAAAAATAAATAAAGAAAAAGGGAATCCTTTACCTTTTCTAGGACCTGATTCACAAATCAGTTATATATATCCTTAAGTTCATTCCTGTTTCTCCAAACACTTAAGCACATGCTTAACTTTAGAGTAATGCTTATATCCCATTGACGTCAGTGAAACTTAAACATGTCAGATTCTTTGCTGACTTCAGATGGACTTCAGCACAGGAGTTGCTGCACTGGAGTCTAATATCTCCCAGTTCTGGCTAGTTTATAGCCAAATCTTGAAAAGTGCTGTATGCCTTCAAATTCCATTTATATGAATGGAAAATGGCTCCCTTGGCAGCTCACTGGATAAGACTTGCAATCTGTACTCCATTAGACCCCTTGTAGTCATCTCATCAGATCCACAGTCCCCCACTTTGTAATCAGTTCTATTAGTGGAAGCACATATATAACTTCTTTGAAACTGACCTAATGACATTTTCTATTCACTCCTATTCACCCACACAGGCTGCATTAGTGCCAGACCCCTGAAACTAGTGACATTTTATTCTCATCTCCTAAGGGCTCCATATTCATAGGGCTTCCACAGACTTGCACCTTATGCCACTGAAATCTCAAACTGCAATAGCTGTAGAATTGCACTATCACAGGATCTCCATAGAGTGCTGATCCGTATTCTGCTACTGTGATTGTTCTAAACAACCGTCCCCTTCACATTCTTTGCTAGTGGTGCCATGGTGAAAGAGTGGGATAACGAGTTCCTTGTAAGATGAGAAAAATTCATTTTTATTCCGAAACAGAAAGGGCTTGACATTAAGTCAAAACACTAGCAGAGTCATTAGTGCTGTCTGTGCACTTAGGAGAAAAGAAAATTCCTGAAAGTGAGCATTATGCAGCAAAGCTGGAACAGTCTTGCTAGCTTGACATTTCTGCAGCTTCTTACTCAGTAACATAGAGCCAAGTAGCAGGTATACAGACAGCCCCTTTTTAGATTCCCTCCCCTCACTTCATGCAGAAGGATTTTTTTAATAGGAAGTAACAATGGAAGTGAATGAAAAAAACACCCTTTTGACTATTCCACACATTGTTATTGTTTCTGTACTGGGAATAGTTGTATAGACCAGTATAAAAATAAATTGGCAAAAATGTGGTTGGTTGTCCAATACAATTGTGGTGAACTCGTGTGAATTCCTCCAATGAAAATAGTGTTCAGTATGCTTACGGATAATGAGCTTTAAAGGAAAATAAATGGTTAAAGTGGAGCAATTTTCTTTTTCCTTCCCTCTTCCACCAGACACATGATTTTCACTCAAGTGTCTGTGGCATTCAGATCCTGACATTTGAATTCTAAGCACCATGGTATTCATCACATGCCTTCTCTGAGTTTCTGCATGCCCCTATAATACATTTCTTAATTCCTTTCAATTTTTTCAGTCTTTTTGAAACTGACATATTTACCAAAGACAATACTTCTCCAACAAAGGAAAAAAGAAGCAGAAGGAAAACTAATATTTCCTTTACGGTTTTATATAATCTACTGGGCAATACAAAAATTAATATTTCCTTTACGGTTTTATATAATCTACTGGGCAATTTTAAAATATTATTTTAGAGAAATTATATGTAAATCCATAAAATAAATAAAGTCTTCTATTCGTGAGCTCCACAGACAAATAATCTGAAAATAATCCCAAGAAGATTTTATTTACAGAACTGAGAGGCTCTGTCAGAAAACACTGTTATGAATAGCCATGTGATTTTAGCTTTAAATGCCTTTCAGTGTAGATTTTTACCATTAAAAATTTTGACTAGATACCAAACCACTTTAATGCTGCTCTTATAGCCCCATTATCCTATATAGCTCAGAATCAGGAAAATATATGGCAACAGCCAATATCACAGTATAACAAATAGTTGAACCATGGTGCCTTGGCAGTTCACCCAGGACCAGGATAATAGATTCCTTAAGCCCTTTACATACAACTACACTTCTATAACTGTAGATATTTTAAATCTTGTCCACATGGTTTATATAGTAAGGCATGCCTAGACAAGTCAAAAGGCTATCTCAAATAAAGATATGAGAAAAAAACAAGATAAAAACAATCTGAATGTTGATTTAATATTTGAGTGGAGAAGTTGTCCTCTTTTCAATTTATGCAATTGTGTTTACTACTTATATGTTGTCATTCTATAATTCTGTCAATTTTTGGCACCCATTTATTTTTAATTGGTCAGACACTGTCCATAACAGCAACAGCTGCTTAGGAGCAACATGGCAAAAGGTCACCGATAAGTCGCTACTAACAAGTGTCTACTGTAGGTAGAAAGCTTTTCTTAATTTCTAACATGTATCTCCCTTGCAACAGATAACTGCTTGTTGATCTGGTCTTCTTAATTATAGCCAATGCGGGTTTCACACTTTGTTATACCATGACCCTCCTCTGACAACAAAAATTACTACATGACATCAGGAGGCAGCCAAACTCAAGCCCTGCCATTTCAGGCAGAGGAGCTAAAGCCAAAAGCCCAAAAACTTCAGCCTCAGAGGGAGTGGGAGGTGAGGGTGGACATATAACCTAAACCTTGCCATCCAGGGCTGACACCCTAGAGCTTCAACTTTAGTCCTGTGCAGTGAGGTTCAGGCTTTGGCTGCAAGCCCTAGCAAGCCTAATATCATTCCTGGCAGTTTTATTCAAATGGGGTCACAACCCACTTTGGGGTCCTGACCCAAAATCTGAAAAAACATTTGAAGATGTTACTGGCTCCCCCTCTCAGTCTTCTTTTCTCAAGACTAAGCATCCTCATTTTTAACCTGTCCTTTTAGGTAAAGTTTTCAAAATCCTTTTTTCTTTTATTTGCTCTCCTCTGGATTCTCTCACTATTTTGTCCTATAGTAATAGAAATGTAGCCGTGTTAGTCTGGGGTAGCTGAAGCAAAATGCAGGACTAGGTAGCACTTTAAAGACTAACAAGATGGTTTATTAGATGATGAGCTTTCGTGGGCCAGACCCACTTCCTCAGATCACTTTTGTCCTAAAGTGTGGAGCTCAAAATTAGACACATTGCTTCATCTGAGGCCTCTGATTTCAGTGGGTGGATTCTAGATACTCCTGTAATATAGC